GGGTAGAGAAGATAACCCTTAATAATACCTTTTTAAAATGACATTATGAAATCAAATTAATAATACCTTTTTTCTGTTATCTTCTCTACCCTAACATTGACTGTAGCTAAATGATCAATGTCCAGTAAAATGACATTATGAAATCAAATTAATAATACCTTTTTTCTGTTATCTTCTCTACCCTAACAATGATCAGTCCAGTAAAATGACATTATGAAATCAAATTAATAATACTTTTTTCTTCTTCAATGGAAACATTATTTTGTCATATTTTACCTTTTTGTATATTCACACTTTTACCTTTTTACATGTATTTTAATTTTATAGTTTATTGCTTGGCTTGCATAATGTACAGTTTATCATTACCAGAAATAAAAGCTACACATGACAGTGAAAACATATTAGCCAATTCCCATACAATCATGTAATAAGCATGTGAAATTCTACTCTTCAATGTTTAGAAGCTAGGTCTAATTTTTTTTTCTAAGTTCATTGTTAAAACAAAGATTTATGTACCTTTCAAATATTCAGTTTAAAATATAAATAATAAATAAGTCATTGAAATAGAATGCCCCAAAACAGTTGTAATTTAACTGGCTTTTTAACTAAGTTTTAAAGAGGCTAAAAAGTCATTGTTTTTAGCATGAACTTCACATACACCAATCACTTTCTGTAGACTAATGCCTGTCGCTATTAGGTTGTAAAGAATGTTTGCAAGCTTCAAATGAAAAGTGGGGATAGATGGGCAGTGTTTCTATCATGGGTTGGGAAAATTAGATTAACAAACATTCCTTAGTGCAAATGCTATACTTTTGAAATTGCACAAACTAAAAGAGGGAAAACTGAGAGCCTCACAGTCAATACAAAAGTGAAGATTGAAATTTTTGTGTAATATTTTTTTTAAAGTAAAAAATGACTTAGATAATATAAAAATTGAACAACAAGCTACATTCTGGTGCTGTTTTATTGACATACATTGATAGTAAAGTTGTTTACTCTAATTTTGAAAATAAGTGTGAAGCATCGCAACATGTCCAAATAGTGAGGTCTGTGTACTTAAAGGGTTAAGTTGGTCCCGTATATCATTGTTTTGTTTTCAATATTCTTGAAAATTGTAAGAGAATTGTCAATATTGAGGCATCAGAATTTTTACTTATTCCTCCAATAAAGTGGTAAATCTGTGGAATAAATTACCCCCTAGAGTGGTGGAGGTTGATGAATATTTGGAGGATCAGGGTTAGCTTTAGTGATATTGTTTTTTTTAGAGTAGTTGGAAAGTCCCTTGATGTTCCATACTATTTATATTTTGGTATAGGACATAAGCTCCAAAATATAACAGTTATGAAATACGATAAATTTTTTGGTGTAACCTTAATATTGTAATTATCTTCGAGACCCTTATTTGTCAAATCAGTGTACTTGTTTTATTTTATTGCATTGCCAAAAAAAATCTATAGTTTGAAGCTTCAAAATTACTTTCTACAGTTTACATAGCTTCTGCATATAAAATGTGAATATTTAAAAATTCACAGCTTTGAAATTTCAAAAAGATTTCATTTTAATTGTTTTTTAAGAAACAAATAAAAATGCTTACCTTTATTGTAGATTTTAATTACAAGTTTTTATGTCTTTTAAAACTTTCCTATAAATATTTTTTTATTTATATAACTGTAAATTTTATATATATTTTTTTCATTCAGAAAACAATCCACAAATTTTATTGTGTTTATGATCACTGCCTATTTAAGCAGTTACTTAGACCAATACAATCAGATAGAAACAAGGACTATAAAATTGCTTTGTAAGGGAAACAAAACTTGATACAAAATAATTTAATTATACCTACCTCATTTTGTTCCACAGAAATAATTTCATATCATAAACATCTCAATTCAAATAAAGTATAAAATGATAAAAGAAGTTTTAAACAAATCATGACTGTAATAGTGGTGGAAGCTCTTAATAAACACCTTTTATTCTAGCCATGTATAACAAAGCTGAGCTTTTATGACTTTGTTCCAATCTCTACATGAAATTGCTGTACTAGAATTCTTACTGGCTTTTACAGTTGAAAAAGAGTGATAAAAAAGAACTTTCATGACATGTTTAGATCAGTAGCTTGACTTCTTGAAGCTGAAATATAGGCAGTTACATCACATTATGAGAATGAATGTTCAGAAACAGTGATTGCTGAAACTACACTTGTATTCAAGTTACAAGGGTAAATTAGTAATAATTTCTATATAGCTATTTTAACTTTCCTCCTAGGGGCTACGAGTATCAACTTATGCTCAGAAAATTCCAAGAAATTAACAAACACTAATGATTTTTATTTGTAACATGCTGAAATCATCCTAAAATCAAAATTTGAGTTTTTGTTTTTAAATATAACCTTTTTGTTGAGTAAATCAGAAAAAATTACTACATGATTATTTTCTAAATTTTGTTTAATTCAATGGTGCAATTTTGCCATTGGGGCTGGATGTACCCTTTAATGTGTGAAAGAGTTAGATACGAATAATTTTGCCACTTCAGTACAATATATATACTAATACCTGATGTTTCTTTGTGTACTTATTAATTAATGGAAATATGGAAGTTATTGGAATTACGAATATTTTTCTTTGCATGTATAATCAGTTATATTTTTATCTTGTAATAGGATAGATATGATGAAGCAGCTGAAATCATAGATACTATTAGGTAAGTTTTAGGCTAAATTTCATTTCTCTATATGAATATTGCATGAATTCATATGAAAAATGAAAAATAATCATTGCATGTGTACCTATCATTTGAGCATTCCAAAACACTATTGATCTCTCACAAAAAGGTTGAAAAAATATTTTGAACAATATAGGTTTTGTCAGTTATTATTTGACTTTTTTGGGAGGTCTGTGTGCTCCATTCACTTCATTTCATTCTCCAAAAGAGGGTAACACTTTTTATTTGATTTTGGAGGCTGTTCTTAGAGAAGCAGTGTAGTGTTATGAAGTCTCGCAAGAAAAATATGACACTGTTGTTCAAAACAAGGGGCATCACCTTTTGAAACAAGCCCAAAATGAGCAACACTGCCTTTCAAACTGTTCTTTTATAGCTTACACTCAAAATGATAATTTGTGTTTTAATTAGAATATAGAAATGTGTCAAGTTCGTCATTATGGGTGTGTTTTTTAATTGCATAGGAGTGGGAATAGGATGATACTAAAATTTTAATTTTGTGCAGGCTGTTCATTGACCCAGTCAGTCACCGAAAACACTCCTACAATCATTTACTCTGTGCTTAAGTTAGATTTTACAAAAACAAAAACTTTGAGACCTCAGTATAAAACGAGCCTAATTCTGCTTATTGTAATTGGCATACTAGTATGATAAGAGGAAAATTAACTTTTATTTTACAGCTCCCATTTTATTTCAGTAAATAATTAGCTTTTAAGGTCCATAAATAATCCATTTCACTGCAAATTAACTTTTTTAATTTAATTTTGACCCTTATCAGTTGAAGAAATCTTTTCTGAACCATATAATACTTTCATTCAGGTCTGTTCACAAGGTTTTTATCTTAGAATTAATTCCTTTATATTACTACTAGCTGAGTTACCCGGCATTGTACTGTGAAAATTTAGATTTGAAATGTTGAGATCAGTATTTTTTTCATCAAATTTTTCAGTAAGTAGACAAAAGCTGTGATGCAAGAAATAAAAACAGCATTTAATCAAAGCTTTATTTGAAATTACATCGTGTTTGAGCTTGTCTTGTTCTTTGAGCCTGAAGTCGTACATCATGTTGCTCCTCTGTTTCTTGCTCTCTGTAAGTTGTTTGTCTTAATTTTTGTGTTTGAAATCTGGTTTGACGTTGTTCAGAAGTTTCTGTCTATATCAGCTTGCCATGATGATTCTGACTGAACTCTGGCTTTGTGCTGTTCAACAGTTTCTTGCTGCCTTTGAGTAGTCTGCCTTTCAACTTGAGCTCGAAGTCTAACTTTACATTGTTCTAAAGTCTCTTCCTGTATTTGAGCAGCCTGTCTTGCAGCTTGTGCTTGAAGTCTTTGATTGCATTCTTCTTCTGTTTCAGCTGCTCTTTGTGCTTGCATTCTTTTAGTGGCAGAAGACTTTCCATAGAAAGGATATTTATTCGGTGGCATAATCACCTGTATCACTAAACAATAATTTGCAATTCACACTTATGAAACCACTTAG